AATGGCATGGTATTTTATTGGATCCTCAACTCTGCACAACTTGATATTGCCACAGTATCATCTATGTCGAATCTGCGATTGATGTGTGGAATGATCTACACAAAAGATTTTTACAAGTGAACGACACCCGTATCTGTCAAATTAACCAGAGATTCTGGAACACCGACATGGACATCAATCTGCGTCAATTTACTACACCAAGATGAAGGCCCTTTGGGATGAATTAGCCACATCATGAACTGTGGGGGTCTCAAAGGTTTCACTGAATGAAAAGAAAAGGAGAGGGTCATGCAGTTCCTTATGGGGTTAAACAACTATTTTTCTATGGTTCGGGGTTCCATACTCATGATGAATCCTCTCCCCATTACTCAGAAAGTTCATTTCCTTATTTTGCAACATGAGAGACGACAAACCGAAGTGGTAGCTAACTGAGAAATTACTGGACAACACAACGTCAATTATACTAAGTGGAAAATGTAGAATCGGTTGACCGATCGCGCCAGTCGATCGATTGGTCTTCCAGAAGACCGTCATTGCTCCCATTGTGACATGAACGACCATACTGTTGATTGTTGTTTCTTTCTTCATGGATTTTCTCCTGAACACAGATATCATGGCAAAAAAATCAAGCCAAAAGGAAAGAAATCCACCAATTCTCTAGCCGTTTCCAATGCAGAGCAGACTGAAACCAAATAACTCACGGGGAAAGAGAATGATCAAATCATGGCCCTCATTCACAAAGAGACCAATAATACCAAATCTTTTATCAATACTAGTGGAGGCATGTGCGTTGCACATGTAGTGGGCGATGCAATGTAAGTAATAATGTTGTCATTTGGTTATGTGGTATTTCAATGAATAATGAAACATGTTTGAAGGAAGGATGATTACATTGGACGTGTTTACAAGTACTTACATTGAAGCTAAAAAAGAGATTTTACATGTCATACTTGGATACATGAATTTTAACATGTTAATATGTACAATGAACAAAATCTAGTATGACAAATAAAGCTACTGGGAGTTAGCTGGTGGACTATGGCTCTAAGCATGCAAAAGAGATGCAAAATATCCATGCATGCATCAAGTACATGGACAGTAAAAAGTATGACTGACAAGATTTTGGAGTCAACTTGGAGCACGCTAAAGGAAGAAAAAGGGATCAAACTACAGCAATCAAATAAAAAGGAAAAATGAAAATAAACTACTCCATAAAACCATGAAAAATGGGAAACCTGATCAGAAAAAGATTAACATTTTTTTTTGTTGGGACTACCAAGAAGTTCTTGATCTCTTTGAGGCAGCGATAGATGTATTAATATGTGGAACAGCAAATGAATTGTCTTCGCCACTTCTCTGCTGGATTTGATGTTTGATATTTCCTTCGACTCCTTTAATCCATCTGGTGTCCCAAATGCCATGTTTAAAGTTGGATATGACTGAATTTGTGG